TCCAAGTTCTTAGCAGCATGTCAGCTGCCCATCTGATGAACAGGAGAGGCTAGTTATGACGATGAACGCCCCACAATTGTGGGCCCCCTTATTATTTTTTTATACAATCCAAGCACAATCTGTTAGAATTGGAAGAGACCCTGGAGATAATAAGATACAATCCTATCATTTTACAGAGAGGAACCTTGTAGACCAGAAAGATTAAAGCCTTTGTCCAAGGTCCTAGGGCCAACCAGCAAGGATGCTAAGGCCAGAACTGGGTTTCCAATTTCTGGGTTTAGTGCTTTTACACTATATTAAGAACTGACTCAACATACATAAGGGAATAGAATTGGAATTTTTTTAAGTCAAGGTTTCAATGAGTGAAGCTCAAAAGGAATTTGTTTCACTCACTGATTCATTCCACTCCTATTTATTGAATGCTCACTATGCTTAGCAAAGAAGGTAAGCTGTGAAGAATCAGACGCCAACCCTGTTTATGAACCTTAGGCATAAGCATAGATCCATGCAAATAAATTACAGCATATTTCGTTGATTTTTAGATGTAACTTTTTTTTGAACATCTCAGGTTTTGAGGCACATAGTGCTATTAATATGTCTTAAGATCAAGTTGGCTGGAAGGGAGTCAGGCTTGTCCAGAGAGTCTTTGCACTGGCTGCTTTCACCCAGGCTGCTCTCAACATGGCACTCCCTTTAAACCATACTCTGCACTTGTAGTTGGACTTTAAGCCACAAACCTACATCATCATCACCTCTTGATTTAAATTCCCAGATCGGCTTTTCTTCCTTCTTCCACCTGGGGCCAAGGCTGTGACCGGCCAGTTTCCCTGCTGTGTCTTTCTCCCTGCTGTGTCAGTCAGTTTCTCACAAGTTTCCCACCTTCCGTGGGTGGGTTAGCTTCCTGCAGGGAGCCTTATGCTAAATTCTTCACCTTGAGCTTGTTGTTTTCAACTTTCACAGAGGTACATACAATAGTGGTGCATTTCACCATCACTGGCATCTTAGATTCTGTGAAATGCAGTGATTCTAAATTGTGATAAGAATTGTAAAAGAACAGTGCAGAGAGGACTGAGAAAGCACAGCAGGGCGACATGATTTAGATTGAAGTCCTCTATGAATAACGGACGTGTAAACTAAACCCTGAGGACTGGGACAGATGACTTAAGGGCTGAGCATTTTAGACAGGGAGACAGCTTATGTGAATGAAGCCCACTTAGGTAAAGAAGTCAGGGTTGCTTTTAGTATTTCAATTAAAAAATTTCCGCTTATTTTTGCGAGTGTGTATAGGGCACAAGTGCAATTTTGGTACACTGATATGTTGCACGGTGCTGAAGTCAGGGCCCTTTATAGATCACTGAAGCAACTCACGTGGTGTCCAGCAAGCAACCTCCCGTCATCCAGACCCTCTCTTCCCTCACCCCTCCAAGTCCCCATTTTCCATCACTCCACACTCTGCTCCTATATGTACACGGTATTTTGCTCCCACCAGGGTTACTCTGACATTTCTTCAGTGTGATGTGACAATTTCCAAAGTGTTCATAAACAAACAAAAAAAAGAATATCTTTTCGCTGACTAGCTTTTCCTTAAAAACAAAATGGGAAATAGGATAGATTCCTACTTGTAATCTACTTTAGAAAAAAATCATTTTTATAAGCACATAGGGTTATGCCCCTGCTTATGACTGTCACCTGTGATTTCCTCAATCTGAAGTTGATTTTGTTCCTATTGCTAAAGCACAGTGAATTAACAAGTGGATCTACAGTAAGATAAACCGTCCCCATTTACACATGCTTTTTGCATGGGGAAGTATTAAAACCACTCCCTTTCCCTGCTTTTCTACAGCAGCCTCATCTCCTGACACTGAGCATTCCAGAGCGGAGGGAGAGCCTGTAGGCATGGAGAATGAACTGTCATTTGAAACAGGTTCCAGAGGCTTCCGGCAGGTAAAGGCAGGGCACCGTTCTTCACAGCCAGTCCTATAATCCTGCAAAAGCCAGTGCATCCCAGCATTCCTCCTAAAGTGCTTCCTGAGATTTCTAAAAAGTGGTGGGGGGAAAATAATTTCAATTCCTGTCTGTGAAATAAATGCAATGTGAACTAAAATAAAAATTTAAGCACCCAGCCAACTAAATGGACTTCCCCTCTTGGCCAAGGGGAACCCCCCTTAACAACAACAATAAGGAGAGGGAGGTGGGACAAGCCTAGTTTCGCTCTGTCTCTTTTGGAGTTACTCTTTGTAATAACATGATACAAAGTTACTAATGAGCCATACCTGTATGTCATCAGATTAACAGACCATTGGAGTCTTGTTATAGGTTGGAGGGTAATCTCTCTGATTAACAGAGTTCCTTCCTTAATTTAAAACATTCCAAGCCTTTAAACAAAGCTTCGTTTCTGGGCGGTGCCTGTGGCTCAAAGGAGTAGAACACAGGCCCCATATGCCGGAGGTGGTGGGTTCAAACCCAGCCCTGGCCAAAAACTGCAAAAAAATAAAAAGTTAACAAAGCTTCATTTCTTTAACCAATTATAAATCAAAGAATCTTTAAACCCACCCTATAAACTATAATCCCTACTTTCAAGATGTCCTGCCTTCTTGAGCCAAACCAATGTGCAACTTCCATGTACTGATTATGACTTTACATGTAATTCCTGTTTCCCTAAAATGTAAAAAACTGAACTGTATCTAATAATACTACTGACTTGGAAAAAAGAAGATTAAAAATAAAGTAAAACAAAACAAAACTGTAACCCAAACATGGGTCAAGGCTTTGTGGGTATGGATCCCATACATTATGCTCAGAATAAAGCTCTTTAAATTATTTTTCAGAGTTTGGATTCTTTTCCACTGACAAAAGTGACATTTCAGTCAAAGATGGAGCACATATACAACAGTGGTCTCATAAGATTATCATACCATATTTTACTGGACCTTTTTTCTATGTTTCAATACACAAATATTTACCACTGTGTTACAAATGCCTACCCTAAGTGCTCAGGGCAGTAACATGCTGTACACATTTGTGGCCCAGAAGCAACAGGCTATACAGTGTGGTCTAGGTATGCCCTAGGCTCTACCATCTGACACATAATTCTCAGACTACATCCCCAATAAGCAAGGCATGACCATATTTGTCTTTCACCTGACATAGAGCACCTGCCTAGAACCCTGGAAATCTTCCAGAGTGATAAGAGTGACCTCTGTGTGCTAATGAGATGTCCAGTGGTCAGGTGGGGGAGAAAGTAGAGGAGCTGAAAGTTGAGTTGATTATCAAAGGCTAATGATGTCGTCAATCACGACTGTGCAAGGAAGCATGAAAGCCTGCAAAAGGACGGGGTTGACAAGATAACTGGATACATGAACGTTCCCGGCAGGTGCAGCACCCAGAGGGACATGGAAGCTCCATTCCCTTCCCAAAGACTTTACCCTATGGGTCAATTTCATCTGGCTGTTCAGCTGTATCCTTTGTAATAGCCTATATAATGAAGTGTTTTCCTACGTTCTGTGAACTTTTCTAGCAAATTAATAAATTCTAGGAAGGGGTTGTGGGAACCCTGATGTATAGCTCATTGGTCAGAAGAGCAGGCCACAACCTAGGGCTTTCGATCCACATCTGAAGTTGGGGGCAGCTTTGTGGGAGTGAGCACTCAACCTGTAGTATCTGACGCTCTCTTCAGGTAGATAGAATCCAAATTGAATTGAATTAGAGGACACCCAGTGGGTGTCCACTAGAGAATTTGCAGGAGAATTGATTGCTTAGTGTGTGGGGGGAAAAGCCATTTATCTAGTTACAGAAGCACTCTGTTCTACGCTGAGTAGATAGTAAGGCCTAGGAAAACACAAGTTGGTTATTTTTCGATACACATATCTCTTAGTGGCTTTTTCTCATGGATGGCTCTACAGCAAACCACACCCAGGGATTTGCCTGATGTTGCTGGGCCCTCTTAAAACTCAGAGGTTTGAAATTGTAGGTTGTTGTAAGACTGAACAGTAAGTATGCTTTTACTCGTTTTTTCAAAGCTCTGCTATAAAGCTCTCTTTATCTTAATGATAAAGAGATATCAGCTTTACTGCAGTGTGCCCAGTTATAGTATAGTTCATCCAGATGAAATGTTCCATTCTCCTTTTCCACCAAGCTCCTTGATCCAAAGTGACCAAAACCCAGCAATTCCTAGGAGTGTGTTCATGCTTCACTTTACCAGGGGTGTCCAACCTTTTTTCTTTTCTGCCATACATTGGAAAAGAGTTGTCTTGGGCCACACATTAAATACACAAACCCTAAGCAGGTGTCCTCAAACTATGGCCCGCGGGCCACATGCAGCCCGCCTAGGACATTTATCCAGCCAGCTGGGTGATTTTGCTGCAGCTGCCTATCCTGCTTAGCAGCTGACTCGTCCTGGGGCCCGCAGTTTGGCCCTCCAACGGTCTGAGGGACAGTGAACTGGCCCCCTGTTGAAAAAGTTCAAGGACCCCCTGAATGAAAGCTGATGAACCAAAAACGGTCCGTGCATAGCTTTTGCAATGGCAGACACCACAGATAAGCAGAATAATCCTCACATAATCCACATGTGGCCCATGGGAGTCTAATCAACACAGCCTGGGGAAAAGAGCAGAGCTGCTTGTCATTTGAGGCAGACAGCTCCCTGTTCCCTTACTGCCTTTCTCCTCCTCCCGGCTCCTCAATACACACACGCAGGCAGAATCTCTGTGCCCTGTAATTACGCGGCTGGATGAGGAAGGGCACCTCCTCAGCATGGGAATATGTTCAGGGGTCCCCGTCTGGGAAGCAAACAAGCCACCCCCCTCACGGACACCCGCTTCCCCTCAGCCCAAGCTCTCTTCTCTCCTGCACACAGACGGCCTCTCAAAGAACCCATTGTGGGCACCCACTCTCGGTTTCCATCCTGTCAGCATGTAAAATGTTGATATTTTGCTCATTGTAGACTTTTTTTACATTGGTTTTGATTTTACAAGTACTGACTTAAACTACTGTTACCCTTGATCTTTTCATGGTTCCTAAGCATGACAATGGGATTTTCACGCTCATGGGTGCCCTGCATCTTCCTTAAACCCTGTTACAGCATGGACACATTACCTGTCTGATGTGAAAAAGAAAGTGATTAATCTGGATTACTTCAATTCTGGCACCCTTCCCCTTACATTTTTGCCCCAAGACAATTGCCTCTCTTCCCTCACCTTAGCCTCAGCCCTGTCTACTCACTCCTCAACCTAGGCCATTCAGCTTCTGCTCCCGAAACAGCAATGGAGACTGATCTTGGAATCTAAGACTTGCTAAAAAGAAAAATCTGTCATGTGTTTTAAAGGACAATTTTTCAGTCTCTGTTTTCCATGACAATTCCTTTAAACACTTCAAACACATCAAACAACAAACAAAATCTACACAAATGTGATGATTATAAAACATGTTACTATGATTATACCTATATGGCTCTTCCTAAAAAGTCAACATCTTGTTTTCTTCCTCATTTCTTTATTATTTTAATACTACCCATATACTTCCTAAGTTTATAATGGTTCTTTATTAAAAATCTTTCCAAGGGTAGGGCGGCACCTGTGGCTCAGTGAGTAGGGCACCAGTCCCATATACCAAGGGTGGCGGGTTCAAACCCAGCCCCAGCCAAACTGCAACAACAAAAAAAGCCGAGCATTGTGGCAGGTGCCTGTAGTCCCAGCTACTTGGGAGGCTGAGGCAAGAGAATCACCTAAGCCTAGGACTTGGAGGTTGCTGTGAGCTGTGACACCACCACACTCTACTGAGGGCAATAAAGTAAGACTCTGTTTCTATCAAAAAAAAAAAAAAAAACCTTTCGAAGGGTAGAGTGTTCTTATCCATAACAAAAAGGAAAAGAATATTAACTCAGCCAAGATTATAGAATCTGGTTGACTCATTTTTTTTCTAAATTTCAGATTAATAGGAGGGTATAAGTGATTAGGTTACATTCTTTGCATTTGTTAGGTAAAGTTCAAGTTGTACTTGAACTTCCCTCCTCTCCTTTCTTCCTTCTTCCTCCCCCCAACTTGAATTTAATTTTGTTTTTCTGTCATGTGGGGGTATAGTTGTTTATTGGTTTCATATTAGTATTGTGTACGTTGGATACTTGCTATTCTAATCTTGTGATACTTTATATTAAGAAGGATATTCTTCAACTCTATCCAGGTAAATACAATAGATGTTAAGTATCCATCTTTTTTTATGGCTGAATAGTAGTATTCCATGGTATACATATACTACTGTTTATTAATCCATTCATGAGTTGATGGGCACTTGGGTTGAGTCCACATCTCAGCCATTGTGAATTGAGCTGTGATGAACATTCTAGTGCAAATGTCCTTATGGTAAAATAATTTATTTTTTCTTTTGGGTAGATATCTATTAATGGGATTGCGGGATCGAATGAAAGGTTTACTTTTAGTTCTTTGAGGATTCTCCATACTTCTCTCCATAGAGGTTGTACTCTTTGCAATCCCACCAGCAGTGTAAGTATTCCCTTCTTTCCACATTCAGACCAGCATCTGCAACTTTGGGACTTTGCGACGTAGGCTGTTCTCATTGGAGTTAGGAGACATCTCAGGGTGGTTTTGATTTGCATTTCTCTGATGGTTAGCGATGATGAGCATTTTTTCATGTGTTTGCTGGCCATTCATCTGTCTTCTTCAGAGAAGGTTCTGTTCATGTCTCTTGTAAATGGGATCATTTGTTCTTTTCTTGTTGATTAGTCTGACTTCTCTGTAGATTCTAATTATCAGTCCTTTGTCAGATTTGTAGCATACAAATATCTTCTCCCATTCTGAAGGTTGTCTGGATGCTTTAGTTGTTGTACCCTTAGCTGTGCAGAAGCTTTTAAGTTTTATCATGTCACATTCATTTATTCCTGGTTAGGGGAAGAGCCCAGGTTATTTCTCTGAAAACTATTCAAGTCTAAACATGGACAGGGGGCTGAAACTTCCTCTTCAAGATCATCTTGCCTTTAACATCAATTAAAATTAAGTCCATGCTTTTCCTGTAGGTTTTAGTTTTCAGTAGCCTAGAACTTCCCCATCAAATGTTAAAGTCTTTCTTCAATGTTGGCATTGCCATTGCCCTCTCAGTGCCATAACTTAGCTTGATCTGTCAACATTATTTGAAATATATGGCTACCTTATCAAAGTCTCATTATAATTAGTGGGGCCATCTAGCTGTTTCATCTCCAAGGGGAAGCAGAACCAAAGTGGCACAATGAGCACTCCTTTGTAGATATTTGTCAAATTCATCATCTTGGAACACAGTTTTGATCCTTCTTTCTAGTTGTATGTGACCACTGGTGCTCATAATGCCTTCCTGTTCTTGGTAGAGTTTCTGTGTATTTTCCCAGGGAAATTTGGCTAACCCTTCTTTTTATTTCTCGTCTACTTATGCAGATAGACATTAGCATCATGTCTATATTTTAAAATCAAACAGAGCTAATAGAGGAAATAAAATACCAATTTACATTAAGTTCCTCTCATTAAAATTTATAAAATATTAAACATATCTCTTTATAGCCAAACCTCCATGTTCATCCTAATTACCTTCAGTATACTTTATCTTTCTTTCTATCATTATGAAATTATGGCCTTTCACAAACTCATCATATTTCAGTTAACTGCAATTATACCTTTTTTTTGATGCTCAAATTATAACTCAGCCAGCTGGCCCTTTTGTCCTTTTAGCACTGTCCCTGGCATTTTTTGTATTATGGGTTAATGTAAGGGTACATCTGATTAGGTTACATCATTTGCATTTGTAAGGTAAAGTCCAAAGTCTGAGTTGTTCATCCAGGAAGTGTGCCATATACTCCTATGCTGTACCCAATAGGTGGGACCTAACCTAGTCTCCTCCCTTCCTACCCCCTTCTTGACTTTGTGTTTTTCTCACATGTGAATCTGTAGTTGTTGGTCTACTGTTTTCACTTTAGTCCCAAGTACAAGGGATGCTTGCTTTTCCATTCTCGAAATACTTCACTTAGGAGAATGTCTTCCAAAGCCATCCAGGTAAATAAAAAAATGCAAAGTACTCATCTTTTTATCACTGAATAGTATTTCATGGTATGCATACACAGTTTATTAATCCATTCCTGGGGTGATGAGCACTTTATTTCAACATCTTTGCAATTGTGAATTGAGCTTCTATAAACATTTGAGTGCAAATGTCATTTTGTCCCTGGCATTTTGGATGGTATCTCTGCCTTCTGGGAATAATAGTGTATTCCAGGGCCATTCTACTGTGTGTGTGTTTGTGTGTGTGAGAGAGAGGAGAGAGAGAGAGAGAACCAGGTGTGCTAGTTCCTTCTAGTGAAAGTGAGTGAGAGGGTTATACACCTGGGCATTCAAGAGTTGATGTGAGTACAGACAATGAACAAAATGCTACTGCTGTTGAGAAATTTAGCCTGAAAAAAAATATCCCCTTTTAAATGTGTTGGTTCCCATTGGTTTTTTTCCTAATATTACCATGATTAAATTGCTAACCCTGGCTCTTCTTATACCATGGGATGTTATCAATGTCTCAGACTTTCTAGCACATTGCTATAACAAATAAATTCCAGCTTGAACCTTACTATTTTATAGTTTTAGCCCTGATAGTAATTTGATTTTGTGCTTATCTTCACATCACACATTCCTAGACTCTCAACACTTGGTCTTTGTTCTACTATCTCATTGTGGCTCTACGACACCAATTTCCAAGTATAACTGTCATGGCAGATGTCTTCTTGGCACCTGGGAAAGGTATGCAATTGATTCTTGACCCTAAGGAGTAATTGTTCCGTATGGTGGAATGTTGATCATCTTCTATTCCAGGAAGGGCTTGGATACACTCCTTGAAGAGATTCTCTTCCCAGGGGCTCAGTTTTGGAGAATCCTGATTTTTCCCTTTCTACCACAAGTTCTGTATCTGTTTTAATAATTTTCAGTCATCATTTTTCAACACATTGAAAGATAAAAATACAAAGGAAGAAAGAATGGCCTCTGGACATTTTCTTCAGGGAGAACTTGAAAGAATAAGAACTCCTTTTCCCTTGTCTTAACTTTGTTAGTATATTTATTTCTAGAAATCCTGGTTTCCTTACATTTTAAAAAGTAGCCCCCTTGACTTTTAACTCCAGACTTACAGATCTCTTTAGAGATCTATCTGGAACTCTCCAGGTTTTCACTGGCTACATCTTATTTAGCTCTGTTTAGTCTCTTTTTCCCATTTGTAATTTGATTGTTGTAAATGACAATTCTTGATGTAGAGGAATTTCAGTTGTGTAAAGCTATCTAACTTTTCCTTTATAATTATTTACATTGCTTTAATGCTTAGAATGTCTTTCCTTCTCTAGAGATTTAATTATGTACATATTATATTTCCTCAGTTTTTATTTTCCCCATTTTTACAAGCATATATTCTTCTTTGGATTCTTCAAATTAAATTTTTCAAGATCAACTTGAATGCACAGATTCTCTGACTATCAAATTCATGAGTAATATAATTTGACTCCCTTTTTTATGAGATGAGGAATTTAGTACCCTTCTTCTTTCCCACACACCTTCCTTTCCCCCCATTCTTTGCCAGTGCCACTTAGAATTATGGATCTGCTACTTTTATTCTATTTCAAGAAAAAGTCTGTCTGTACTGATATTTTATTTACAACCTTTTAAAACTTAATTTGATACATGTAGCTGGGATTGTTAACAATTCTTTTGAACCCATTTTTGCTCCTGAGTTTTTATCTGTAATAGGCTGTTTCATTGGAATGTATCTTTAAGTTTTTTAAGAAAAGTACAAGGGTAGTAACTTTTTTTGAGCCCTTGATTAGGATATCTAAGAACATTTTGTTGTTTTATTTGCAAATTAACACTTCAGGTTGAGTCAAAGCATTTTCTAGAACCATTTAGATTTTGTTCCTTTATCATTTGGGATCTAATCTTGTGATGTACCCTCAATTTAGCCTAGTCTCATTTTTATCAAAAGTAACATTTATATTTAGTCTGAATGCTTATAGAATTTAAAAAGATCCTTTACATTCAAACAAATTTGCTAGATTATGTCCTTTATGCAGCTTTAAATTTGCCTGGAACATGGTACAGT